TCTTGCGTGTGACTTGAAACATTAACACTTTTTCTGATTGATTGGAAAAGACCATCCATCTCTTATTTTTTCAAAAAAGCTTTTGAGAAAAAAGATCCATTTTTTAAATTTAAAATCGGATCTTGAAAATATATCATAACCATAAATCGACCATAAATCGCTTTTGTTCTTGCCGAAAAATTCCCTAAGGGACAGCATCTCACTTTTGGATCATATTAACCTGTGGATGCTTGTGATTCTGATAAATCATGCTCTAATAATCTTTCATCCAGAATTTTTCTGCAATGTGCATCATCATCAATGCAAGAGACTTTCTCAGCATTCAATTATTTTCTCTTCTAAGTCTGATTGATTCACCAGTATTTGTTTTGGTGTTCCAGCAGCAAGGAAACTGGTAGAACTTGGGATGTACCCACTAATCCTCCTCGATAACTCAGGTCGAGAAACGATCCCGGAAGCAGTTTGATACGGGACACGAATTAAAATCTGTGAATTCTGATGCGAAGTACCCAAAGGGGTTGGATACTAAGTACCTATGACTTTGAAAATGATTATTTGTCCGTGCTAGGCACATTTGGCAGCCATATCTCAACATATAGTCCATATGGTACATTTTTTGTCAATTATTCTTGAAATATTTGGAAAATCCAATTACATTGCTATGTAGTGGAATCTCTCTCCCCCTCTACTTGTAAAGAAATTCATTGGAGAGCCGTGTATGGTCTTTTTTTGCTCATGAGAGCATCAAATATTGAATGGGATTCGTTTACTCTGACTCACCTTGTACAAACGCTCGACAATTGCTCGAATAAAGATCCTGTATCGTTTGTGCTTCAACAGTTCCTTGTTCAGGTAACCGTTGGAAGTTTCACCATCTCCCAAGTTAAATATGTATGGGATGTCTTGTCCAAGAAACATGGCTGAGATGTATGGCCGATCCTCAGGAGGTAGTTCATGGTGGGAACTCTTCCATACTACGCTCCTTCCCATACTCTGGATGGATGATCCAATATGTTCCAATACAATACAATACAATGAGTTGCAATTAATGCAGTTTTTCTTCAATCGAATAAATATTCTTACATCATTTGAAAATTGATACTCAATCGGCTTGGATAAATTAGCTATGCGACTCTCAGGCACCACCACCAAGAAGTACCACGACACTGGTCCGAATATCTCTGAGGCTCTGGGCAAAATCACCATGACAGTTCCAGACCCAGTCACTCCGTACATGCTTGGTGGTGCGATATCAGGAGGGCCTTTGAAAGAGTTGGAGAACGTTAGTGAAGAATAAATGAAGAGGCCGAAACAAAAGTATGTAATGGTTCTCACGATTCATGTCCGTAGTGATAAGAACGCTGGCAGGAGGGAGATAGCCAACGTCTGGTGGAACTGCAGTCACGTTCACCCTGTATGTTGTGAAGCTCATAAGATTCCTCATTCGTACATCTGTGCCAGCTACAAAGGTTATTTTAGCAGGAACGATTTCTCTCTGAGTGACTCCATATTTGTCCACATATTCCTTTACTGCATCAATCGAGACCTACATGAAAAAGAGATTTGTCCTTCAGTGAGTCTTAGTACACGTATATGGAAAGTTCAGTGTTTAGTGATTAGATACAATGAATCACTAGAAGGAGAACACATGCCTTCGCATGCCGTTGTAAAAGCATTTCTCAGACGCTCCTATGTTTGCTGGGTAGTGAAGCCATGCCAATAAGTGTTTCAGATGTAAACTCCAAGAGTACAGGGGGTATGTGCTTCATGGTGAGAAATATTATCAGCTCACTACAAATCAGAAGCATTGGTTCATTGTTTTAGTTTCTACATGCGCACATTTTCAAAATCACTCATCCCAGCTTAAAGGGGTCGCGGCCGGAGCATTCCCAGGAGCGCCTTTCTGTGTTCGATAATTTGGGCTACCAATGACTCAAGCCCGGCAGGTGGAAAGCTAGTTCTTTCGTGACTATATATTGCAATGTTGTCCGCCCACCTTGCACAAGGCCAACCGACTGATCTGCAGGTCGTTTGTGATCCGGAAATATTTTTGGGAGTCTCTCGGGAGGCATAATGGAAAAAGGGGTTTACGGTCTCTCAATCTGAAGCAGCTGGTCGACCCCGAGGTTCTTACGGATAGTAACACTCCGCATTTTCTCACAATACGTAATACCTGCTTTCCGCTGCTAGAACTTCATCGAGACCGCTTGATTTCGCGACCTGATTATTTCATTTAATACCGCGGTTTTTTACCATCGGGGAGCATGGGGAGGTAAATACTCATAAAAACCGAAATTTCTTTCTACTTGGAAATTTCAGAGTTTTAACACCATAGTCGTCCAGAGTTCTCGAGAAACTGCGGAAGCCGCGGAAATGCATCTGTTGACCTTGTTTTCGTATCCCCCGCCACTAAAAACCAGACCCCGAGGTTCTTAAAATCCGTCACCTATCATGTGAGGAGCGCTGTACAAGGACATATTGAGAGGACAACGTTCAATTCCATTCCGATTGCTGTACATTCCGATCGAGCACACCCTGAAGCTTCCATCGAGACCAGACAAAAAGAACGGCATCATCGGCAAAAAGAAGTATCTGTACCTCGATACCACCTTGAGGCGAAAGCTACGCCTGCGGATTCTATTCAAGAACACGAAGAACAGGAAAAGAGAGACAACGCAACCGTTGCGGATCGTGAATTTTGACTTGAGAGAACAGGCTATCCCAACATGCATATGTGCTCCTTCTGTTTGTAGCCAGGGGTCTGCCACAAACAGAGTTATTCAAGAAAGATCTTGCGCTGACGCCCATAATCGATCTGTTGAATCGAAATCAGAGGCTTCTGAAACCGCGCTTCCAGGTTGAGCCCGAACGTGAGCCTAAAAGCATACGCGTGCATCATCAAAAAGTTTATATCGACCATTACGGGCAAGTGATAGGTAACCGCCGTTGTGCTGATCCTTTCAAAGAGCATTGCAAAGCAGTAGTAAGCAATCGCGTCATCACCCTTGAGCAACATGAAGGGGCTCCAGATGACCTGAAGCATTCTCTGATTCCTGGACAGAAACTTAGCTAAAACTGCAACACATCCTTCTATGCGGTTGCCAAGGCAACTCAGCAGAATGTCTGGGAAATCCTCCCAAGGCCGTAAGCAGAGCTTCAGGAGGTCACATTAGTTTGGCTCGTCTCTCCATTACAGGGGCGGTTACTTCTGAATCTTCTATCATCACATTGGAATAATACCGATGCATAGGTTGCATATTTTATATGTTTGAGCATGGGAATACACTTTATACTAAGCCTGTATTAAATAAATAAAAAATTGTAATCTCATTTTTGGAATGAAAGGTTTCCACCGTTTCCGGGAAAATTTGGTGTAGAACTTTTCGGTTTCCACCGGGTCGTTCAGTGAGCAAAACGATGAGACGAACCCAACTCATACGAAACTCTGAGAGACCATACTAGTGATATATTGCACGACTGTATTCAGTCAGTGCATGAAGAAGTAAAATTTTTTACTACGCTACTTTTGGAAAAAGTTTTCCTTCGTTTCTTCGAAAAACACAATGCATATTATACAGTACATCGTTGGAAAGATCTCGGGCTCACCTTCCTAGAGAAACCACCCATGTGAGTGCTCCGCCACATCCAAAAATACTCGACCAAAGATGACCAAAAAAGAGAAAATTCTAAGTTAAAGGTAAATTTTTCTCTATGAAGCGAACAATAAGTGAAACAAGCAATTTGCCTTCATGTATGGAACCGAAAAAGTAGTGCAACTTATCGTAGCGAGATATTTTCCTTTTCATTCGCCACATTTCTCTCCACATTTTCAAGCTTAACTATGATGCAGAAATCTCGTTCAAACTCCAAGGATGTACGAATATAATATTTCATCTATCGAAGAGCTCCGATTCAAAGTTATGCACGCTTCCCTACGATGAACGGTTCCTGAGATGGAAATTTTGTCTTGCATGGGGTTTTTCCGCAATCATTATTTTCCATGTTTTTCCGCTTTTCCCATGGGGTTTGACGGGCGATATCTCCCTAACTACAGACCCAATTGAGCCGATTATTTTTCTTACGGGGTCGTTAGATTGACTGCAATCACTGAGAATTTTTATCGCGAAATCCTTGATTGTCGAACGCACATCCTGCTTGAGTTCGTATGGAGTGATAGCAAGGTATTTTGCTAAATTCTCGATACGTCGGGCTTTCTCTCCCCCACTTTCTCTCCTTGCTGGGAATTCCAGCAATCATATTTTTATCATTGCTCGACGAGATTGCTAAACTAATGCCAAGCTCCTCCTATCACTTCTGAATATTTTTGACACTTATAAGATGATGTTTCATTTGCATTCAATTACGTTTGATGACTGCTAATTCTCATTTAAGGTCTGACGCTGTTATTCCGATTCATGCCTTATAGAATTCACTATAGGTTCGATTTTAGACGTCATATGAGACAATTTCCACCTAACTACATCATCTTAAGCTATCGAAAAAATACTATTAAATCCATTCATTACCCAAGTAGCACAAGATATTCCAGCAACGTTTAGGAAATGTTGATGAACAATGTTGCATCTATGTGTAAATGTCCAAAACGTCAACGTTGTTCAAATATTGCGATGGAACATTGCATTTACGTTGCAAATCACTACTTATTCATTACATATACGTTGCAGATACGTTTCAGGATTTATGTTGCTGCAATGTTGATTAAAAACGTTGCTTCACGGGCACCTAATCTGGGTCTATATTGGCATTACNATACGAACTCAAGCAGGATGTGCGTTCGACAATCAAGGATTTCGCGATAAAAATTCTCAGTGATTGCAGTCAATCTAACGACCCCGTAAGAAAAATAATCGGCTCAATTGGGTCTGTAGTTAGGGAGCGAAAGAACATCCCTAATAGCACATAATATTGAATCAACTTTGTTCCAATGTTGATACAACATCCGAATGTTGAATCAGCACTGAATCCATGTTGATTCAATGTTATTGATGTGTGCTACCTGGGATGGGATGGAATAATGACCCATATTGAACCTTGTAATAGAGAGGTTCGAAAGCATTCGGGCCTTCCCATGAGACGTATATTTCTGGAGAGGATCTCCCTTGTTCCTCCGTCTTCATCCATTCCCCATCGTCATCGTAGAATGGATATGTTTTGCTAGGCTGCACATGTTTGGGAACATCTTGTGGTCTCACTTCTACCTGGATCATCTTTGATAGCTGCCCCAAGTGCCCCTAAGTTAAGAAATAGAAAGAGCATGAAAACGACGAAATAGTCAACTTCCCAGTGAATCTCAAGAAAGAGAAATCTAGTCATACTTCCTTCGTTCGGCTAGACACTTGAATGTAGTAGATGGCGAAGTGTTCCAGATGTTTAAGCTCTGCTGAATACGTGGCCTGGACATCTTTGTGTGCCCATAGGTCCAGATCATCTGCTTCATTCCTGGTATAGTAGATCTAAAAAGACTGAAGGGAACAATAGAAAACCGTTTTCATAGCTTACATATTCATAATCTGCAGAAGCCCAATCACCCTGAATCCGACAATGCTTCTTCGTGGAGTATCGTCCCACCAGACCTCCAAAGAATCATTTGAAGTTGCCTTAGCCCGAACATTACGGACAGCACGAACAATTTCAGGAATTGTCGTCAAGTACATCCTCTCTGAGAAAGGACCAATGCCTCCTATGGTATTGGCACTTATCCGGAAGTAGTACGAAGTGTCCTCTTCCAACCCCGTCATTACCATCTAAGTACGCATGAAAAAACATGCTTCAATTTTTCCTTGGCCCATGCAAAGATTGTTTCCTTTTATGTTAGGTTACCTTTGGGGTTGACATATTTCTTTCCAAGATGAGGCTCTCATCCATTTTCTTAATGAACCGAAGAGTGTAGCCGAGGATGCGGCCATGGCAACGGGAGGACTCTGGGACATCCCACTTGAGCATAATGATGCTTGAAGTGATGAAGTTGAAGGAGATGTTTGTGGGAGGGCTAGTAGGAGGTCCTTCGGGTGTTGTGAATTCAGTAAATGCTTCCTGACCATAGCCAATATCATTACCGCCAGCCAATCGGAACTCATACTTGAATCCTTTCTCTGTGAAAGCCAGTATCAAATATTATGTAGTAGGGGTTGACATTCTAATCATTTGACAAGAGTGAATTCCTTTCCTCACCAAGGCCATGCACGGTAATCTCGTTTTTCTCAGATCCATTCAAGATGATCTCTTTCATATTGAGTTCTTCAAGATCCTTGTGTCCCATATTTACGCAGTAAGTGGGTCGCGTTCCATAGCGTATGCGCCACCCTTTAGTTTGTCCATAAGTCCCGGAGGGATTAGTCCATGTTGCATTAATGGCCACTGTAGAAGATTCCTCTGCGGAAATTCTGAGAGAATAGAATACGAGGTCTGATCAAAAAGTTCCAGTACTTTCTTGTTAAAAAATAAACCGCTTTAGTTAGGGGGCTCTAGTCAGCTAGGACTAGTGTAGGTCGGAGTGGGGGGGTTAACCGCACGCATGTTGAAACCTCCCTTGCGCTAGGATCAACCAATCGCGAATTACGAGTGTTGAAATTCGGTCGTCTCTGTGCTCTTCCGCGAATCTTCGATCATGCATCATGATCCTGATGCATCATGAGTTTGTACCACAATGCCAGACAGTTAACCAAGCAAAGGTGTTTTGACCCGTCTGCGAAAAAATAAAAAAGACGGTCCCAACTTTTCCACAAAGACTGGTTTTTGCATCACGAAAATGCTCCAGTCCACACTGCTCTCACAATTCGAGAGTTTTTGACTAAAGGAAAATTCCTGTGTTGCCCCACCCTCCCTATTCATCGGACCTGGCTCCGTGTGCCTTTTTCCTGTTCCCCAAGATTAAAATTCACCTGAAAGGAAAAAGATTTGAAGACTTTGCAAGCATCAAGGAAAATGCGACGAGGCAACTTAAGAGTCTTACAATCCAGGACTTCCAGCACTGCTTCCAGAAGTTGCAGGAGCGTCGGGATAAGTCCATAGCATCGAGGGGGGAATACTTTGAAAGGGACAACAATTAATTTTAGAGTGCTTATTAAAAATAAAGTTTAGGAATAAAAGTATTGGAACTTTTTGATCAGACCTCGTATACGTTCCTAAACATCCTTCTTTAGAAACTAATTCCTGAGTCAATAATTGCATGTTCTTCGGCTATGGTTTTCCTAGTGATTTTCAAACACCAAAGCATGTTATATCAGTCACAATTTCCATTTCATGTTCTTTTCTCTGGAGAAAAAAGCTACACTTTTTATTGTTGAATCTTACATCCCAAAATTATAGAGGGTAGGCCACCTTATTTGGAGAGCAGGTCTTGAAGGAACTCCTCCTGGAGTTTTCACTACGAATTTGTTACTTTGTGTCCCTTCACCGTTTCTTGTCATTGCTGCCACTTGAACCTGATATGTTGAATTCGGCTGGAGATTCGTGACTGAATGAGTTAGGACAGAACTTTTCATGACAAGAGAAGACTGTGGTTTCCAATGAAGGGTCTTGTCCCCAACATGTCCCCCATGGATATTAATCTTGTATCCCACAATGAACTTGTGATGCCCGTCTTGCCTGGGAGGTTTCCATTCCACTAATATAGAAGTGAAGTTCACCGCCGTCACCTTTATTTCACGTGGCTCACTCGGCACTGAATGTGACCAAAGAAAAACCAAGTCTATGAAAGTTCTGGAGGTGAATGGCATACTACCTTGTAGATACCTTATTTGAATGGCAGCACAATTGCATCATCTTTTGATAGCATGAACTTTCTGAGTCACCTTGGCAGATTTGCTTTGACTTAAAAGCACAAAAATGAACATTTGCAATGACTCTTTCACCTTAAGTGATTTAGTGCCATTCGATACAATGATGACGAATTTAAGATTGAGAGTATTGAGCAAATAGGAACAGAGAAAAAAAGTACCACCGTCTTTTCTCACATCGTGCGAAAATCGTTCGGAAAGCTCTGATCGTTACTTTTTTAATGAAATAATCATAATTATGTTTCGTTCCACTACAATCTCAAAATTGCGAATAATTTCCGGACATATCACAGCCCTAATTGCATCTTTAGATCTACTTTTGGAAAAGAGCAGCACATATTTCTTTCCACGTACCGTTACCACTATTGGTACTTGTTGAAACAAATGCATCCTCACTGGAAATGTTTGTTCACACAAACATGCAAACGTAGACATTCGCAACAACGTTACGAATGTCTACGTTTTTCCTTCCCCGGTATGGACACAAAGCAGCTCGCAGCACTTTCTCACAGCTCTTCATTTCTCCACAGGGTCATTCCACAGAACGCGAGGCACTGAGTTGAAATTTAACCCTCAACTTTTTCTCAATCGTTAAAACCATCATAAAATGGTAGATACAGATATCGTGGGATTGGACATTGTATGCTGCTTTAATGGCCTAGTATTTTACTTTTTTGAATTAGCGTCACTTCTGCGCATTAAATGTGCCTTTTTGAGAGACAAATATGACATTCGTGCTAATGCTGCCGCCGGTGCACTTCAGTGGGGAAATTATATCGATTCCAAGTGGAAACTTTCCTCAACAATAGCATCGAACAACTGACCAATGCGTTTCCTATAGCTATTCCTACAGGAACCGATGTTACAAACTTGACATGATGTTCGATGTCTTACTGCGAGAAAATTTCCGTAAGTAGGAGAGGCATTCACGTTGAACGCGGAATGAAGGACCTTTAGACATACCTTTAGACATTTAAAACGAAGAAAAGTATTCGACGAAGAAAACGGAATGGGATTTCATAGGAAATGCAGACATTTTCCCGACCATATCCAGGTTCACATGCTCTCAGTCGAAAATGTTTACGATGAAGAATCAAGAATTTAGGAAAATATTTCACTGTGAAAAAATTGATTCCTGGTACTAATAACCATAGTACACACTCCGCCAATTGACATGATATGATTTAAAGCTTAATCCTAAAGCGAAAATCAGAAAATATTGCAACAATAGAACGACAGGCCAAAGGAATACAATAGCCAATGGTTGTCAGGCACAAACATTTAGGCTCTGTTGCTGTCAAATAGTAATATTTCATGAAAGCCATTGAGTGCCAATCTCAAACTTGGTATCGTTGAAAATGGCATATCATTCATTTTTGAATGTAGCATTGGAACAAGGGATTCCAGAGGAAGCAAATGGATAGTCCAGATGTTGGACACTGAACATGATCAAAGTCTTTGGTCAAATGAAATTTCTTTTTTTAGGTTTTCAAAATATTTTCTAGAATCACTATAAAGAAGGCTATTTGTGATTAAAGTGGCACCACAATGAAGCCCTTATTTCAACAAGAAGATAAGTTGTTGCGGAAGCAGTTTCACAATACTGGTCTGTATGAGCGCCAGGAGCCAAAAATAGGTGACACATATATCTGGATATCGGTACGAGATGAAAAGTAAATCGATTAAAATTAAATTCTTTAACTCGATCCATCTACATGTTGACCGCTTTCTTTTCTAATCGGAGACGGTCGAGCTCACCCTCTGACCGTAATTCGAACGTGTTTCATGAAAGGATGGCGCATTTCCAAAGGAACAGTCCCCAACATCATCAATAATGCAAAGAGGCGAGAAGCGAAGAAAGGCGTGAATTTCGGACATGAAAACTGACCTCAGGCCGGTACGTAACAAGAAGCTTCTGTCTAAAGTTATTCATTTCTTGAAAATGAAATTCCACTGAACAAGAGAATAATTGCACGTCGACTCTCGGTGTCCAGCATACACAAATGTAAGGAAAACAAAAGCAAGATTAGTCTATTTCCTCTGCCCCAAATGCATCAAGAAGAGAAATACGCATACCAGACAATTATGCATGAGCCATGAGGTGATAGGTACACATAATTATGACGTTCGATGAAACTTGGTTCAACCTTTCTACTTATGTGAAGAACCTTTTTATTTACTCCCAAAAAAATACTTTCGCTATCCAAATAGGGTTTGGATTTTTGTGTGCTGGCGTTGCTGAAGCGTGCCCTTGTGAATCGGCGCCGCGAATCTTTGGGGTGGACTTGGTGGAAAGTCATCAGAGAAGAATGGGATTAATGGATATCTCTTTGGACTGCAAAACTCTGGCAGAGTAGAAATTAAGATTCAGGGCAATTCTTCAGAATCAAAGATGGAGTATGATACTTTCTAGAAGAAGTAGCAAAAACGTATAATATTCTGAATAAAAAATGGTCAGATGAAGTTGGAGTACCCAGTACATAGTATTTCAAAATTGTTGTAGGAATTTTGTTTATGCATTACAAAAAAAAACAAAGAATTGTAGAGCTGAGTTAGTATGCTCACAAAATTCCTGAGTGTCTGAAAAATAGTGAACTGTGAAAAGAGTTTAGTACTTCTACTTTACCCTAAGTGTAAAATATATTTCAAATGTTTATTTAGTAAGCCACATTGATGTGCACACTCGTTATTAACGCCTGCTGGTGGGAAAATCTGATTTAATGTTTAGATCACGATAGTAGGACCTTCGGGAAAAATGATTTTAGCTGGGACTCGTGCCAGCACCAGTTTTGCAGGAGAAATGCTCCACACATGCAAGGTGCGTGTTTGATGGCAAGTGGTTAATTTATGCCTAGTGATGGCAAAGGTTGGTTATATGGATAACTGACTGTCACCATTAGATTCTACGGTTTGCGATTAAGCAAGTAGAGACACCTCATGTATCGAAATCGGCCAAAATATAATGCCGATAGTTTTGCCCTGTAACGAGTCAGGGTAATTTAGAAATACCGCGTGGCTATTGACACTTTTTCACTACTTTAGATGCTGTATCGAGTGTTAACGAATTTAACGTAGGACGCGATTAGGCAAATAATAGCCATTCTCCTTTCTGATGCATTTGGCAGAGTCTGTTCCAAGCTCTTTTCTAGTTTGGTATCACTGAGATCTGGTTTTCTTGTCTGACTTGCCCTCCTGCTTACCATAATTTTCTGTTGAGACGATCAGTGGAAAAGTCGGTACACCTTCACCCCTTCTGCTTTTTGCTGAAATCAATATTTGGTACTCATTGTTTGGGTATAGGTCAGTCAAGACGTACTCCTGCGTGCCCGTGCCAAGGGCCATAATGCTTCTATGGTGGACTTCCTATACTCCGGAAAAACCAAAAAGCCCTCATTGATTATTGGCATGAGTCCTCCTGAAACAAAGATTGTTTGCATGAAAAACGGATGAAATTCCGGAATCGTAAATACGAGCATATGTCAGTACTAGCGAGTTTGCTTGCCCTTCGGGCAAACGAACTCGCTATGGTCGCGCCATCGGCGTTCCATTGTCCAAGTTAGTGATTCATTCGTTCATTTATTAACAAAGCTACAAAAACATATTAAAAGTATGTGCGTGTCAAAATTTGTCCTGAGAGAAAACGAACCGATATATCCATCGAAATAATTATTCCAATTATAACTCATGTGCCTAACTTCAAATTTCTACATAATCTGTCCTGAGGGGTCTCATTTGAAAAGTCGGATATACAATTAACAATCCAGCAGGTACTTCTGTTCCAAGTTTCTACTTTCTTAAGTTCTCTCTTTCATTGGGTGGGAAGAGTTTCCTGATAATGCACCATTTCCAAAAAATATGTCCTGAAGTGGTTTACCTAAAAATAAACATTTTTACTTAAGTCAGTACTCTTAGAATTACGGGCATACCAAGTTTCAACCTTATCCGTTTGCTCTTTTTCCAGGTGCAAATATATCTTTGGAAAAGCTGTGCCGTGGGGGGATGTACCACAAAACCTGAATTTCTTCAATTTCAATATCAATTCGAATTTCTGTATGTCCGAGTGTGTAGAACAATCTGTGTGAATGACATAGTTGACTTTGAACAGCTGCAGCTCAGCCAATAGGAGGCCAGTTGACAGGGGACTAGCACCAATCGTAAGCCAGGAATGAGGAGTATGATGAAGTATGCTCCAAAATGTTCACATAGGACGTAACCATTATAACAACATATTAACATTATACACACGTACCTCAACTGTTTCGGCTGAAACATATATCCCTGTAACTTATTCATGCAGTATTTTCATGTGATATATTGAGTTGGAAAGAAAGTCTTGCAACAGTCTGCGCAAATTTTTCAAAATTTTATAACTTTATTGAAATGCAATTTCAGTCTACAATGTAATGACCATTGTTGTCTATGACATGTTTCCAACGCACGGGTAACTGCTCGATGCCCTTTGCCCAGAACTCTGGCGATTGGGAAGCGAAGAAACGGCCGACATCATTTTCGAGCTGTGCTCGATCGTCAAAGGCCTTGTCCCGCAGGTGATTCTTGAGGGCCCGGAAAAAGTGATAGTCGGAAGGGGCCAAGTCCGGAGAATACGCTGGATGGGGTAAAACTCCCCAGCCCAGTTCCGAAATCGTCTGGCGAGTCATCTTCTCAACATGTGGACGAGCGTTGTCATGCAGAAGGAGAACTTTGTCGCGTTTGGGACGCTCTTTTTGAATGACGCCAGTCAACTTCAGAAGTTGAGCAGCGTAGAAGTCAGCAGTCACGGTGGTACCGGTTGGCAAGAGCTCATAGTACAACATTTCTTCTGAATGCCACCAACAGCTGAGAAAAACCTTCTACTCCTGGAACCATGGTTTCGGTTTGTGTGGCGGCAATTCTCCTCGTGGAAGCCACTGACTCTTGCGAGTATGGTCGACGTAGAGGACCCAGCTCTTATCTCCAGTAATGATTTCCTTCAGAAGGTCCTTTCTGTGCGGACGAAGGAGCAGTGATTCGCAGATACTGACACGGCTTGCTTTGTCAGAGTGAGTCCGATGTCGAGTAAACCTTCCGATAGCCAAGGTTGTTCATACGGTTGCCGATGGCCCTATGGGTGACTCCAAGTGTAGTCGCCGATTCGCGAGTGGTGGCGTTCGGCTTTTCGCGTTGAGGGCGTTCCGCAGAGCTTCGTCATCGACTGTAGATGGACGTCCTGAGCGTGGTCGATTTCCGAAGGTCGTGTCGCCAGATTCGAAACGTTTCAACCATCGAGACACCGTGGAATAGTGGACGATTTTGCCCTCGAATGCAGCGCAGATGTTGTCCGCGGCGGCTCTAGCAGAGTGTCCTTGGAGGAAGTCGTAGTAGACGATGGGGCGAAGAGTTGCTTGTTCGACCGGAGCCATGGCTGCCAACTAATGGCAGAAGCCGCCATATATACCCCGAGGGCAGAAGCTTCGAGAACATTCCAGCACATACAAATGCAAAGCCCCACCCATCATTCCTTTGAAAAATTTTATAAATAGTTTTAGAAAGTGTTGCAAGACTTTCTTTCCAACCCAATACATCTTACAACATTCTGCGGGTAGTCTACTCACCCACAGGTCACTACGTCCCGCCAGCCACTGTAAGCTGATGGAGAAAAAGACCCACTGAATGCACCAAACAAAAAACTTGATTGCCCACCGAGCTGCCTGCCCAATCCACGCGTCAGATCGGTCCAATAGAGATTATCCGCATTCCGTACGTAGTTAAAAATTATCCCTTTCATCTAATGTCTGGGTGTTCGAACTTCCAGTACGTGCCTCACTTGAATGCTACAAGGCGGGTTTGACTGAGAATTTGCATGCATCCAGTTGAGAGTTCCCCGATGACGTGAGGCATCCCTTATTATTCATCCAAAGTGTGGCACTTGGAAATTCGAACGTTATCCCTCCAATATTTTATTTTCTCTTACTCCTAATTACAAATTAGACCTGAGTTATTGATGTCAGTTGAAACGTTGTTACCAGCGATACGGATCCCGTGGGTCGCGGGAGTGGTCTATTATATGATAGATACAGTAAAAGCTCGTTAACTCGAATCCTTTTAAGTCGAAATTTCGCTTATCTCGAAATTCAATGCTTGGTCCCAGCGGAAACCCGTAGGACACCATGTTCAAAGCTCCGTTTAACTCGAATTCGCTCATTTCGAATGAAATGTTCACTCCCTCTAACGATTTTCTCACGGTTAACTTGAATTCAGGGTGAGAAAGGGGGAAAATTCTTCTCGGGAGACTTTTCGATTTTTGAATAGAATGAATGACAAGAAACCCGTTCGGGAGGACACTCTCTTGTTTCTTTTTTTTTCTGCTTCTCCCTCCTTCCACACAGACGCCTGTGGAGAGGATTAAACCTGAGGAAAAAAAACCGAAAAGCTTCGGGTATAAAAAAGCCTCCAACATTCTCTGTCAATCTATCGCTCTCACTCCGAGCCATTCAGTCCCCTATGTCCCTTAACGTGAGTTTTTTTTTCTTTTTTTTTGGGGGGGGGGAGGCGATTCCTGATAATTCGAACATCGGATAATTCGAAACGATTTTCCCGGTCCCTAAAAGTTCGATTTAACGAGTTTTTACTGTAAATCAAGAAGAAACAATTAGGAAAAAAAATATTCCTCAAATTTGGAGAAAATTCCAATGATGCCTTAACTTTCCTTTTAATAAATCAGCCTAGCAAACCTTCCAATAGTATGGAGCATTCTTATTAAATGAAGAAAAAGCCTGAGCCTTATTGTTTTTAACAGATTTTAATTAGCCAATTATTGGCAGACCATGCCTCTCCGTTATTTAAGGCGTACAATTTAACGTGGTATCGTTCAATCGCAAGGCACCATTGAATAGGCAGGAAATATCGTGTACTTGTATAGGGGCAAAGAAAGTGGAATTATGCATCTCAGAACAAAATTTTTCTTTGATAGCTACTACTATTGTTCGCTATAATTGAACTTAAGGAAGGATTTTTCTTTTTATAGAGCAACACCTGAATTCCCGTTATCAAAACTGCTGAATTTAACCATTTCTGGTACTGAGAATAAGGCTTCTTCAGAGAAGAACATTTCCTCATCCTAGCGACCGGGCCAGAAAGACTAGGCTTGTGTTAGATTCCAAGGAAAATTGTATTGTTTGGAATTGATCCTATATGACTCCTGACCTCCTCCACTTGGAATTATACAGGAAACAAATGAGTCGTACACAATAATCAGATCAAAATGCATGTTGCAGCAGAATAAAAACAGTAACTCAAGGATATGGTGAAAAGCATAAGAAAGTGACATTTCTGAAATACAAATTGCACATTATTCTAGGTGAATCACAGAGATCAAAATCTGGCAATCTGCGCATAGTGTTTTGCCTGTCAAGAGACAGGTTTGTGGGAATTATCAAATAAATTCAATTTGTTACAGACTGCATTTCATTTTCTGAACGACGAAGAAAATTGCAGCGATGAAAAGTTGAAATATTTCCAATAATTTCAATTTTATTGTAAACCTGTCATTTACATGGCTAAAAGTTTAAATGGTCGTAATCAAGGTCAAAGGTCAACTGGTGCTTACAATCGTATGCTAATTCTTCATAATATATTATTGCATAATAAGAAATATAAGTTTTCCTTTTAAAGTGACATCCTTTAAATAAAAATCCGACTATTACTTGATATTTGATAGCAATGGTCATTTGGCACATGAAGTTCCTGCTCTCGTATTTCATAGACGCATACATTTCGAACAATAAAGTTGAACGCAACCAAACTTAACAAATATATATTTAACCAAAAGAACCCCAGGTAAATTTCAGCGTACGAGGTATTCCGAAAAGTTACCTGTTATCAATTGGATACTATTACATGAGATGATGACTCGTGCCTATCTATGGTGAATGCAGAAGGATTATAAAACTAAAATTTGAAAGATTGGTAAAGGAAAATAGTAATTAAATTCACATGCTCGACTTAAAAGATTCAATTATTACAGTTGTCGCACTTCGATATGCATTTCTCTCATGCTCATGAATGTCTTGGGGCTCTCATGATTTAACACTATCTGCGCGGAAGTTGGTCAATAAAGAGTGTGAAAATAATATTCCAAGGTTTTCTCATTTTTCCACCCCTCTCCTAGAGGATGGGGTGAAGGAAAGACTAAGAGGGAAGACTGAGAAGGAAGACTGAGAAGGAAGACTGAGAAGGAAGACTGAGAAGGAAGACTGAGAAGGAAGACTGAGAAGGAAGACTGAGAAGGAAGACTGAGAAGGAAGACTGAGAAGATGGTAAGGTCACAATGGTGCCTTCCAAATAGCGACTGACTCCAGCGTCCTAGTCTCTTGCTAATATGCTCGGTACCTCTGGGAGGAGCCAAGGTACCTTCCTCAAAAAATCCGGGATTCGGATTGGATATATGACTTGGCCCCCTTTTGTCCCATTGGCTACATTTTCAGTGTTGGCCTCGACTTAATTTGCTTAAAGTCATCGTGACGGTGTCACTTTCTCATCATCTTCATGGGTTTCGTTCTACGTGTTTGCCCCAGTCGGTTACAGGGTTGCCCCATCCTCCAAGTGGCAACATACCATTATTCTCACTTAGAAATTTATTATTGATAATGTTGTGTATTTTTTGCCTGTTTCCTTATGGGGTGGTCAGTAATTACATCAAAAATTAAGTTATAAAACTCAAAACCATTTTCTTTAACATGCCACATCACGATTAACAGTATATCATTAGATAGATAATTTCATGTGGGTTATGAAATAATTAACATTATTCCTCTTCATCACAACACACCATATGAAGGGAAGAGAAAGGTATGGAAAATGTTAGAGTAGAAAAGGATGAGATTCCTGCACTCTTTTTTTAACACCTCAGGAGGAATACACAGTATATTTCTTCCTTCCCCTCTTTTGTTATAATGGTTTTCCCTTCTAATCACCGTAAAAGTCAGGTGCATTTTTAGGGAAACAAAGAGTTCTTCCCGATAGGCCAAGGAGGCGAAAAGGGTGGAAAACCTCATTCTGCACAAGAAGCAGCCATGAATAGAACAAACTGACTCGAACGCATAGCCTATATGGACGTCAGCTTATATAATTTTTCATAGCGAAATGATAGATCGACAACAACAAGAAGGGCACTCATCATGCTCTAGAAGTTAATATTTACCTTTGGTTGAGCTATCTCCTCCTGAAAACCCCAAGGAGGGAGGGAGGGAATACCAAAGTGAATTTCACATTCAGAAAGCGAGATTTAGTTTTCGCCAAGTCCCAGGGACTTGGAGCTTCAACTTTGCTAGAGCGATCCTATGTTGAGAAGGTAAGAAGGATGCCCAATTTCAGGCAAACTAGCTGCCTACCATTTTCATTTTCATATTGAAACTGTATTGCGGTAGGTGTACGTAGTGGTGTACATTCACTGGAATGATCTAGATATGTCAGGGCAGGTGCTAAAGTCTCCGATGTGAATAGCATGAATAACAAAGAGAAGAGATGATGTGAGTAATGAAGTTTGATAAGATTCCTGTACAAGTAATAGTTCCAAGCGTACTCATCAAGCATCCCACTAAGTCAGATGTACAATAAATTGCAAATAAATCTTAAAGCATAACTGACTTTGATAGGAGTGATTAAGTCAAAACAATGGGTTCACAAGAGAAATTGCTTATTTAATATGAAAGCATCAGCAAGAGACGCTCTAGCTTTCGAAAACGGAATTGTATCATTTATAATAAAAAACACGGCTTTTTTTCCAACCCTTCCTTTGTTTAATCGTTTTCTTCTTTTGCAAGAAATCATTCCCTATTTTCATTTTCTTTCTGTTGTTATTCTTCTCCATAGACTCGATGAGAGTCCATAATGATTGCTACTTCTATGAGGAACTTAAGGTTCATTGTTTGCTGGTTTAAATTACTTATCAATTAAAAGAACAAATCTGTCTTGCTATGCATTTCCTCATGAATTACATCAAAAACTAAGAAAAACAGGCAAATGTCAAACCAATTCAATAACCGTGACCAAGATAAATCGAATGAGTAAATTCTTAGTCATGCACCAAAATTAAAACATACCCTCACACAATATTTCAATGATGTAACAGTACAGATACAAACATTTATTCATGGCAAGAAATGAGAGTATCCGTACCATAGAACAAGCAGAAAATACCGAAATGCTTGTGCTTGTAAGAGGATGGCTTATGTTAGTTAAGAGGCCCACCAACTTTGGACTTAGTTCATGAACAGGCACAACTTCCATGAAAAGGTCTTTAAGAAGGAACCGATAACCAAGGAAACGATAAGAGTTGCGTCACAGTATGATGCAAGAAACGACCAGGACCAGAGGTCCAGCCCAAAATTAAAATTTGTTGATTAATTCAAATGCAATGATGACTTACTGAACAACGGGGACTATGGCAGGCTGACACTGGCAGTGGTAGGAAGTCCGGAGCACAGCTGCGAGGTCTACCATTGACTTGAAACAGTGATTAGCGGTGGCAGATTGATTTGGTACAAAATGGACATACTGTCCATGGTCATCCCTCCCGATGATGGTGTCCGACATACAGAAAAATTTTGAAGTGATTCTTTCCGCTGACATTTTTCTCAAATGGCTGCAGAAACTCCAGATGGGTGTAACAGTATGCGTCTTCGTCAAGATGTCTCAAAAACCCCAACATAGATAAATCAAAGGCCAAATTAGCCCGAAAGTCAAGAGTAGAGATTCTCTTCAGCGAAAAACTTATTCACAGGGCTGACGTGAAAGGAAAGCTTAGGCTTTGTCTTTGTCTTCCTTCTCCCATCCAATATTAATTTTTACATTGATTGCTATTATCCTATTAAAGAAACTATGTTCTATTTGGAGTGTCCAAAGAATACTTGGATAGATTTCTTGTTGTTAAATTCTTTAACAAGTACGGTGGATAACTGTTGCTTTTGATATTTCATTATTGTCTTTATTTTAAATAAATTTAAGTTCTTTACTTGGAAGAATCAAGAGGATTTTCATTTCTCCAGAAATTCTGCCTGGCAAACCTGCCTTGACCCTCGAATCTGGAACAGGGCCGGTGATCAAATAATATTGATCACTTGTTACGTCACATTCTGCTTTCGTATCATCGCACAGGTACTTTTTAAATCGTAAAATACATTTTTGCACTGAGTTCATGGGGTGAGCTGTGATTGCAACGGGATTAGTGATGGTCGATCGATTTGATGGGATATGGCCTAAACGTGCATGGACATCCCTGTTGATAATGGCGTCCTACCTGCATTTGAATTCCGGAGGTAGCCTGTGTGCAGATCTCCTCGAGATTCAGCTTGATTAGGAGAGTCTTTGGATTAGGACTTGGCCTACCTTTGGTGCGTCCCGTAGAGAAAGGAGTGGAGGAGGGTAGGGTGAAAAAAGGGAAATCAATTGCAAAAGGATTTTCACGTTACTTCATTCCATTATAAAGAGCCATTCGTTGAGCCTCAGCCTCTCATTTGAGTTTTTAAAAAAGTTGCTTCCCTAATGCACTAATGCCTAAATTCGGACACGTCATATTATAATTGAAGCATAGAATAACCTACATATGAAGTGGATCCCAAGGCAAGAGATGAAGTTTTTTTTTCGGGATCTGAAGACCTTGATCTTCCTAGATCAGACATTTCTATCTTCTGAGATGGAAATGTCTGATCTTCGAAGTTCTAGGGTCCCTCTGTGGCAATGCTTTACTTATATATCCTGATATTTATTAATGAAATCTAGACTTTCACAGGCAACATCCTGAGAAAACACTGCCGCACATATTGAATCTAGTTGGATATTATATAATAATAAATAATAGCTGTTCATGTGTACGCTTACAGGCGATTGGGAAAACGAATATAATTATCTCCTGTCGATATAATTATATTGACATCCAAAGTAGGCGTAGAAGAGGTGTGTCAATAATCACATGAAGATGCATTACTTCCTGCTGTGATGCTATTCATAATTTACTTTGACATTCTCGTGGATCATAATGCACTTATGGAAATGAAATACGGACATATATAATATCTCACCCTTAAATATGTGTCATTCCAGTACAACTCGTAGCTGATAAATGGCTCTTGGTAATTGTCAAGAGGTCTTGGGGGGGCCCAGTTGAGGCTGATGGTTGTAGCTGTTCGATTGACGATGCGCAGTTCGTTCGGCTGGTATGGGACTGCAAGAACCCGAACAATTAATGGACGCAGAGTCATGATCATTCTTGGAACCGCTTTATGAGAATATATACCAACATTTCCATAGCTCCATAGCATTAACAATCTACGGGACCGTCACAAGGGACAATGGATGCCGTAGACGATACAGTAAAAAGAGGGTGGGCCAGAAATAATGACTCACTCTTTGGAAAGGTTGCATGTATTTTCATCGAACATCTTGTGTTGGGTAGTCATATCTATCAGCAACACTGATCACACATGAAGCAACATGGCGGGTGTACGCCTGACTCATGAAGAAAGAGGAAAATGTGTGAGGCTATTTTCCATGACAATGTTATGGAAAAGAGTGTGATAGGAATGAGAATGTGATAGGAATTTGGAGAGCCAGTGCCAATGCAGGGACGAACCAAGCGTCTGAACAAAGTGTTTGACGAAACGGGGACAGTGTTGGAAAGAAAACGGTCAGGCAGGCGAAAGAGAGTTCACAGCTTCGAAAATATGACACGTCTTACGGAAGCGTTGGCTACCTCACCCACCACGTCCAAGTCACCAAGACGTCTTTCATCTTTATTGGATATAACTCGATCCTCAATAATACGTATCCTGAAGGACATGCTATGCATACCTTATCATCCCCATATTCACGCACTCCACGAAGATGATCCGAAATTGCGCGTGCAATTTGCTGAGGAATAGTTGGATCAACTGGAGGAGGACCATGAAAGGGCGAATCATGTTGTCTGGAGCGATGAGACGAAATGCCACCTTTCAGAAATGCCACCTTTCACCTTTTTACCACCTGCCAGTGTGAATTGCCAAACCTGTGCGTTCTGGGCCCCGCGGAACATCCATGTGGTCATCTAGCAACTTCATCAAAGCCCAGGAGTTAAGGTGTGGGGTGGAGTGACATGTGACGGACTCATTTGCCCTTTTATCACTGAGGATTCATTAACAGGTACCTACTATCTGGACCTGCTCCAAGAAAACGATTACCCTGCGCTTACTGAGAGGAATGACCTTGATGAGATATGGGGCCAACATGCCCGGCAGCACCCCTACGTTGGGCGAACGTTGGACCTATGCTGGAATTCAACATTTGCGATGTGGGCCAAACGTTGGTTCCCAACGTTGGTCTTAGTAGCACCCCAATATTGGATCAATATCGGCTTCCAAGGAATTTACATATTCCCTCAACATTGGCACCCATTTTGGACCATTATTGGCATTACCACCCGGAAAAACATTGAGCCAATATTGGCGTTAATATTTTCCCTAATTTATTTCTCATTGGAGGCATTCCTATGGTGAAGGCATTTCTATATGCATTTGAGCCCCATTAGGCTCTTCATCCGCTATGGAAGTGCTTGTCCAGCAATACTCGGGTGATCATATCTTTAATCGCACCACATATGCAGGGGAACCATATGCAGTCTCCGCAATCAACGAGAAATGACTTATTTTATCCTCCTTTTATCGAGTGAAGTCCCAATTCGAGTCATGCTTCCTCTACGATTATGAAGAGTCTGTTTAGACCGCTCTACCTGTTTAAACAAGTGAACTGAGAAATTCGAGTTCGAAAACCGAGAAATTCCTTTACGTTGGCTATGGAAATGGATCAAGTACCGCATGAAAGGTACTGGGGTCTGAAATTAATGAATCACTCCCTGATCCCACTGAAACAGCGGCTGCATAGTCGCCATCTCGCATCAACTGTGGGAAGCTTTTCGTTGTAATAGTGGCTACCTACCCTCCCATCTCGCTTATTCTATGGGAAGCTTTTTTGTTCAAATAACTCAGATAAATGTTTCATTCCGAGATGTGACAGATGGCTGCCGCTCTAGCGTCGATGTTTGGTCTACATGGGCAGCCCATTACGAAGTGGGTCCAGGCTCTTTCACTCGTAGTCAATGTTGGCCCAACGTTGTGTGCTACCAGGAATGACGGGGCTCCACACCACTACGCCGTTGCCGTGCGAGATTGTTTGAAAGATGGATAGGCTGATGAGGACCCATCGAATGACTCCAGCGATCGCCAGACTAAGTGCTGCCTGGTTTCTTTTTCTGGGGGTACCTGAAAGACAAGGTTCATGCACACCAAACCGCGACCTTTATCACCTCAAGTATGTGATCAAACAAGAGATCAACGGCATCCCACTGGTGATGTGCCAAAGAGCATGCAGACCGGTGTCAGACCGTCTCCGGGCGCGTTCACATGTTGGTGGTACGCAGGTGAAACATGAGATGAAGAACACATTAAGTCAAAGGGTTACATTTGTGTATTCCATTTTTTTTCAATAGTCAGCTATGTTTGCCTCATTAAACTTCCTAACGAACGTTGTTGGGTAACATACTTATAGCGCTTTAAAGAGTGAGTCATTACATCTGGTCATCCGTGTAGTAAAGAGGGTTTTTTTCCGTTGATATAAGCAATATTGTGTAGGATTACGTAGGATGTAGGATGAAGGTATCTCTTCCATTGTACCTATGAGTAGGAAATCTCCCTCAAGCAGAGTGATTTCTGCTATCCATCCTAAGGACACAAGCTTCCCTTAATATATTCTTAGGTTCACGGGAACACATCATAACTTGGGGAAATACATCCCAATACCGTCTCAGGGAGAATACATCAGGATCCATTAGGGATTGTTCCTGAACATTTCCATGGGACATGCCCCACGGGTATGATTTTTCTGCTACGGTTGTCCGTAGGATTTCCATCATCTGATGCTGATGGATAAGTATCATAGGTAGCTTCGAAAGAGTGTCCTGTAGCGGACACTTTTGGGATATTCTCAGGATGTTTCATGCGGACGACCCCATGAAGGCCCATAAAAGGAATCCCTGGAATGTCCGAATATGATTCACAGCTGGACACGGACGCTGATATGCAAGCGGGACGTCCCTGGGATCATCTCGTACTACTGGAGTCATGAATTACACACGGTATCGTCGGGTACTTCATACTGAAGATAGAAACTCATAAACTAGTCTCATGATGTCATCATGGGGAACCTATCAGCTCTCATGAGAAAGTCGTCAGACCTCATGAGTAACCCTACAACCTTCATGAGACGTTCTTCAGATATCAAGGGAAGTAATGAGTTGTAATGGGGATTTTTCATCAGGAACGTGCAGAACACCAATGCGCGAATTGTATTTTTTTTGTGTTCCAAATGGATGCAGTCGAAAGAAGTGAACATGAAAATGTGACCAGTGTATGGCGAGACATGCAGTAACTTGTCGAGTAAAGTTGCGTATACCTGGTGCGAGAAGTTACAAAAGGGTATTGTTACCATTGCATATTCTGCACGTCCCTATTGTTGTCACCATGGTGACACCGTAGCGCATGTGAATGAGTCACTGATCGTAACCCACCGATGCACAATAGAGGCGGATTTTTCTTGTGTAACATGATTATCTACAGGTTCTATTGGTTCACATCTGACAAATAGGTGGAATAAGCAGTACGTGGAGCTTCGGTGGCTGGTCACAATATTCTATGCCATCGGCATACAATAGCTGATGTGCAGTTGGAATAAGTGCCTTAATATGTTCGGGTATAACGTGCAAATATAAATCCGGAGGATTGGTGGCTACGTTCACGTGCTTGCCTGTAGTTTCAGTTTGTGATTTTTTTTTAGTGCCCTTTGAAGATTAAGAAGCTTCAAGTTATGCTTTCCTTTCCTTTCTAATCAAATTAGTATGTAAGGAGGCAGAGGATTACCTCTGTATTGCGTCTTCACTTGAAGAGGAGATGAGAGAGGGGTGGGCCCGTTTGTAGTGTATGCCTGGACCCGGACAGTGTAGATGGTTAAAGGTGCTAAACCAGAGAGCAGGGTAAAAGTTTCCAATGTTGCATACCTGCGATAATTTCCCTCCGAAAAACTTGCCACGAGCTGACTTGACCAATCTTTTATCTCCTGTTCAGGGTTCCTCGTGTAGTAGACTTTGTAAGCCTGAAGTCCAAGAAAGAAAATATTTACTCTCAATATCATTACATATCGTCTTATTTTATGTAAGGCTTCATGGTCCTGCTGGAAATGAGACGGATTTTCAGGTGACCCAGGCCTTTACAAGTCATTGTTATCCTTCCCCGTTCCTGCACTCTTTCCTCATATTCCACAATAATTTCGTATTAGTCTTTCTTTTACACTTTCTTACTTTCCCAGTTTCCTTCAGTTTATTTTCCCTTCAGTATGATGTCACAGCCACTCAAAACTTCCACCTTAGAGACGAGTGGATTTAGTATGTAACAGGACCTCCACGAATGAAAAGCCAGCAATAGAATGTAGAAGTTCTCACCGTCAGTTTCAGATCGTGGTTCCTCCTGCAGTAATAAGTCGCCTGCATGGTTATTTCAGGTTTCAACCACCATATCGCGAGACTAGTCCCGCTCAAGTATTTGGCTCGAACTTGCTTAGGAGGTGATCTTGGCGCTGTGAACATCAGCACCACCTTTCATTGTCATATTCCACTGTAAATTATTTATTCCCTCATACAAGGATCATCGGGAACTTCCTGGGTTATTCCACGCATTAGCATGAATGAATTCCAGCCAGAAGGCGAAACAAAGCTCTGGTCAAATTCGTGGCTCTCCCTCCTAGCTCATTTAGTTATTGTACATAGTCCTTCCACATTAAAGATTTGGGCACATTATTTGTGTAGCGCCTGTAACCATGGAATTGTGCCAAAGTTGGCATTTAAACATGTCATGCTACACAGACCAAAGACAAATCACGAATCCGTAGTGAGTCAAATTATATTGTTGAGTGTCAGAAATCGAATTGTTTTTGCATGTGGTGATACTGCCCATTGTCTTCTTGTGGACTGTCAGTTTGCATTAAACCGACCTACTTGTCCACTTCGTAACAAATATAAGAATGAAGCTTTCGCTTAATCTCCACCCCGACCTGGTTATTCATCTATATACACCACATAAACTATTCACTTCAAACCATCCACCTATCCAAGCTGCTTTTGGAAAGGTAATAAATCTATATGCATCAGTGTTTCCAGAATATCTCCTTATTTATTATGTTGAATACATTATCTTTTATTGAGGAAAAATTTTTCTTGGTTAAAATATGCTAGGGGCAACTCCTTCAATTAGATTGTTATGTCATTATTAGATTTTAGTTCTATTATCTAACAAGTAATCAATGAACAGACATCACTTAGAGACGATCACATCCTGTCTGAATCTCAATGAAGGCTTAAATGAGATTCGGCTAAGAACAAGGTTCTTAGCCAAATCCTATTTAAGGAGTAGTTACACGCGGGTGATTCCATTTCAAATCAGGCAGGGCCTGTCAGGTCATAGTCTCGGATTTTTTTCAAAAAAATATATATGATCCCCCCTTTCAAATGATGGAAAATGGTATCTTATTTTTCTCTATATCTGCAATAGTTTCGGAGAAAAAAAATTCACAATTGCAGGGCTCTAAAAAGGGCGACTTGTGAAATTCCTGTTTTCTCCCACTTTCAATTTCCTGTATCTCCGAAAGTAATAGGCATAGAATCCTAAAAAAATTTTCTCACATACTTGAATGTACGTCTTGTGGAAGCATTTGAGAAAAATTTAAGTTATAATTTTATAAATACGTAATTTTAAATTTTAAATAGTGACGAAACTGCTGAATTTGCTGGTTTTTGCTGAATTTTTTGCCAGCTAAATTTGTGTCCCATCTTGAATCAAGCATATTTTCATGAACTACATACATTTGTGCATCTCTTATTGTCATTTGGCATTTATATCATTAATGCTTAATTTAATATTAATTTGCAACTTTTGTCAATTTCCGAAAAATGGGTGAAAAAAAACTTTTTTCTCAAAAAACCCATCTTTGATTTTTTCATTTCTTCCTTGTTGATACTAGAAGGCACCAGTTACAGTGTGGTATAAAAATTTCCTCCTCGATTTGCCTCATTACCAAGTTATGGATTTTTAAACATGCACATTTTCCGACGACGTTGAGGGAAACAGCGGTCACGCAATCATGATTGATTTTTAGCCGTATGTGTCCAGCATGTGGCCAGCCGTATGCGGCGATGATGTATTCGACAATATCATGTTCACATCTACCCTAATGCAATGGTCAAATTGCGTAGAATGTGAAAAATGCTCCACCGTGGTTTTTACCTAATATGTTGTATGTTCGGCCTTTTTAACTGAACTACCTGTACATGGTCATGTGAAGATTATCTTTATCAGAATAGGTTATTCGACGCTGGGGAACACATTGGAGGCCCAAACTAAGAGAATTGTTACTTTCTGTGGAAACATTTTTATTTAATCCGCATCTCAGTATATATTTATTCACAGGAAGTTCAGGACAATCGCACAGCTTATCATTCATACGATCTTCAGTGTCATTTCTTATTTTTTTAGAACCAACTCCTTCATCTCGTGTCGAACGGATCTCGCCATGAATAATTGTCCCATTATTGAAGACCAATATCGGCTGCGCTGGATCCCTTTGGCTGCTTGCACGTTGGTCCATTCCTCTTTTTTCTTGCTGCGGTAATCATGAACTGTTGCTGCAGGCAAAATCAGAAAATGCACATTTTTCATGAAGGGCGCCATTTTGGCATGAACTTCCTTAGGAGTTTGGATGGAATCGACTGGATCATGAGTTATGTTGTCAAATGTGGCGTGGTGCTTCACCAGTCCTCCAATTCCATCGCATGGACCTTTACCATGACCTTTATGAACCATGCTGACGACCCAATCCTGGCAGTTGTGCATTGCTGCCAAATAGGGCTTTCCATTGCAGGAGTTTTGAATTGCAAGGTCCCGCAACGCTACAGGAGATATAATTACTTCTCCAAGTAAAATGTAATTTCTCATATTCACTTCTGGTTGCTCATTGGTGCAGCTCCAGGTGAGTTTGTCCTTTTCTCCGAAACCTGGCAAAAAACATGGAAACACAACTCCCTCAATTGAATTCACGCTACTTCATTAAGGAAGAAAGAAGGAAGAACAATATTAGAGACTATCTTCACGCAGGTATTAGCATATCAACAATCTAGACAGTTAGAACTACTATATATTCCTATATCTTCCTATCTAGACAGGAACATAATGCGGCTATATGCAGGTAACAAAAGGAGATGTATGAACCTACAATAAATGCACGTGATGACACTGCGTGTGATATTTAGAGAGCACTTTGTAATGCGGTATGCCTCACCTTAAATAAGAAGTAACTGCACCAACCGCCTCCCGCTCTCACAATCTCATAAATGATACTTTTCACCATAATAGGTGGGTTTAACAAAATGCCCCAACTTAATATCCCCTATTAAAACTTCAGGACGAGGTCTCGTTGGCTGACACCACCTGTTTACTTTAAGTGTAATCCGAAGAGAAAAACACTGGAGGAACCTCGGCCCCCTGAGGACACTTCCCTACAAAACCAACTCCGGCAGCCAATGACAGCTGGCAGGCAATGCACGTCGCCCGCAAGCAGCATGGCACGATGCGCAAGCCGAGACTCTCAATCCGTAAGACCTCCCTCGTATCATCATCTCCATGACGACATTTGCTTCTGAAATAATGGCATAAATGCTCTGTTGGCATCAGACGGCGGAGCACACGCTCGCTTGGCTGCAATGCGACATACTGCTGAAATTCACGTGATCATGATCCGGTCTGTGATTGGCTGCTCGGCTCCCATGGTTTTATCGTTAAGGGGGTATGCAGAAAAGGAATATATGAAAAAAAGGCCACTGAAGAAATGCCCACGGAAATAATGCCCACAGACAAAACGCCCACAAGAAAAAATGCCAACGGAAAAAACGCCCATACCTGCAAAGTACGAAAAAATGCCCACGTGAATATTTTTCTGGTCTTTATTTATTTTTTATTCTGCACACAAGCATCTCATTTATGCCACTGCCATAAAGAGCTGCGTTGATTTTGCAGAGTTCGTTTGATGGATGCCTCTGATGGCAAAGCGCATGAGCATCGTAATCCAAATGCATCATGGCTTACGAGTAGATAATACCTGGCTTGTCACACGTCTGGCCGCTCACTGCTTCATGGAGACACATTTGTGGATCTTGATAGCTGCCGTGTCCGGAGCATAGTTATGTGCTGCTCCTGGACAGAATTTGATGCAGTCGGCGTCCGTGAACCAAATCCCCCCACAAGATGAGGACCACAGCGTCACCGGATTTTGTCGTTCTTCTGGAAGTGCTTCACATGCATGAAGCCTTCAAAGATAATTTTCCGTCCGCCTTTCTGGTTCGAGATGAACTCCATGGTTACTTGAAGTGAAATGAATGAGCTTAAGACACCGTATTTATATATCATCCGTTTAAAGATACTTCGAACAATGGCATCATGATCAATCTCCTCATGCTTCACACGGGGTAGGAGGAAATTGTCAATCAAGAGTTGTCTTGTCTCAAACAATGTTGAAATATTTTTCCCCCATGATCCTCTTTATGGAGCCCATCTTTCCGCCTCCCTCGGGATCAATACGCCCCTACCTCCAAGATAATTGTAGGCAACCGGACCTTCTCATGTCAAACGTGGCATGTCACACTTCAATTACTCCATTGCTATTGAAATCGGTCCAAATGACAGGCGAATTAGTAGCAAAATCCCACGCACCAGATCTTATCTCAAGTGACTTTTTTTCTCACGTTTTCCTTTGCATTCCCGGAAATAATACTCCATTCGTTAATCCAACGTTAAATCGTTCTGGAATCATGGGAATTTTCTTCATATTCATGTTTTATTACGTTGATAGATGTGATATATTTAATGTATTCAATGGTTATATATCACGTTTTGAAAATTAAACTGCATTCGTTCTTACAAATAAAAAGGAAGCCGCGAGAGATGCCGCAAAAAATGCCCACATGCGTATTTGAAAATACACATGTGGGCATTTTTTCGTACTTTGCAGGTATGGGCGTTTATTCCGTGGGCATTTTTACTGTGGGCATTATTTCCTTGGGCATTTTTTTCAGTGGGCGTTTTTTCGGGGCACCCAGAAAAGCGACCGGGACAATGGGATCCATTTCTATTATCGAAAGCTAGCCTCGCGCGGGACGTGCACTATCCTAGCCCGCGCGCAGGAGGGCTCCACTAAGGACGATGCGACCTCTGGTGATGACGCACAGAGAGAGCAGCCAGCCACCACAGTAGCTTTTGTCACTATTAAAAAAAAAGGACAAGGAATACAATGTGTTGATATGATGGTTAGGTTCTAATTGGATAATCTGGAGCAGGGATGTCTTGCGCCCCGCCCAGGCCACTGCATATGTAAGCTGTGCTATAACTTTCCCACGCATGCGCACTGAACACGGATCAGGTTTTCTTATGCCCATATGGTCTAGTCTTCGTTGTTGTGGTGAGGCCCTTCATCGCGCGGGCACGGTTAGTAGACCTCAAATATTTTTTTTTATCCAGTTCGGTCAAAGACCAAAGAGCGAGTTACCAAGTTTCAGCTTTCCATATCTCTCTATGTGACTGAGGCAAAAATATTTCTTTGAAAACATCTTCCCCCCCCCCAATTTGTGTGCCCCCCAGTGCATGTACCTCCAAATTCGGATTTTTTTAATACAAATTCTACATCCCAATAGCTAGTTGTTTGCCAAGTTTCAGACTTCTAACTTCTCTAGAACATGATTTGAATTAGCCTCAGCCACTCCCTCAATCACTAACTTACTCAGTACACAGTCACGACTGTCTATATTCTGTATTAGACATGCGAGCTCCATCAAATGAGCTCCATCAAAAACGAATAATAATACATTTGAAGCATCCATTTTCGATTCGCATACCTGCAAATTGGGTAAAACTCCTTGTGTCATTATTATTGTATTATGGGTTTAAACCACTCCTGCTTGTGTGAGGCGATTTCCATCTGGTGATGTTAGGAACATGAATCAAGCAGAAATTCTTCATTTCCCCTGAATTTTCACCTTACAATTCATCCTCAATGCAGAGCCTTCAATAGAAAGACTGAAATAATCAGCTTTCTCTGAGCGAAATTGTGTAAGATTCCTCATCCCCCCCCCCTAACAAAAGACTGTATACAGTACAAACGAAATGTTCGTACTAAATACGGCAAGAATCCGCCATCACGCCCATCCATTCGAAAACGTCACATCTCATTTATGGTGACTGGAAGTGACATTCGGAAGCTTGGATCCAGCCGTGCAGGCACCAGTCCTGAAAATGTCGAGCGCCTGCGACTTGCCTTCGAGCGTAGTCCGCAAAAATCTGTACGAAAATGTGCAAAGGAGTTTGCATCTCCCTCGATCAACTGTCCAAGAGATCGTAGAAGTGGACTAATGCTGTGACATGAACTCTTTGAGTTGTCCTTTCATATGGAAAAGTTGCATCACATTACGTTTTTTTTTAATTAAAGAGTTACAATGTCAAAGCTTCACAAAAGGCCTTTGAGATGATAATCGATTTCTAGTCACTTCGTTTCATTACTAGTGTAATGATAAGTATAGCATTGAGAGGCACGATTGAATGTCCCAGGTTTCCGGGGTCCCGGAATGGTGTAGTGGTAGCACACCTGACCGGCAATCAGGAGGCCCGGGTTCAATTCCCGGCCGTCCCCTGGCTNCAATCAGGAGGCCCGGGTTCAATTCCCGGCCGTCCCCTGGCTTTCTTTCGTCATCTCCTGCCATCCAATCTTCCGGCCATTCTCATGACACTAGTGCTTGTTGCCAAGAATACTTTACTTACCTTCATACGTAATCCATCTGTTTCCTCGAACGAAGTGGAACACCAAAGCCCAATGATGCCATTCCAAAGAGTCCAAAAAATTGACCGGAGGCACAGGCCGTGTATGAAGATACACATTAGCCTCGCG